GGGAGCCACCACTGAGCCCCTCGCCCCCCACAGAGAGCATGGTGCGGGTGGACAGCCCGTCCAAGATCGTCAAGCTGGACACCGTGAGACTGATTGCGGAGAAGGTAAGGCCCTGCGTGGGCTTCCTGGGCGGGATGGGCCTCCCTGCTGCGCCCGACCTGCCTCTCCCCGGGAGCTCCCCCGGGGCTTTGCGAGGTGGAGGCCCGACAGCCTGCCCAGGCTCACACCAAGGCCCAGGCAGAGGCTAGGGCTAAAACAGGGGCTGGGACCAGCAGATGGTGCAACGGTCATGTCGCTGGACTCCCACGTAGTCCACTGTGGTTCAAGTCCCAGACCCGGCGGCTTAAAACTCACGCCTGCGTGCCCGAGATCCTGAGGAACATGAAGAAGGGATTGCGGGTGGCCATCCCCCAGGGTGATGTCTCACTTTCTATCTCCCTGTCTCTGTCTCTCCAGTGAGTGCACACACCCTATACCAAAAATCCCTCCTAAAATACATTATTATTAAAAAGATAATTAATACAAAATAATAAAATGGGCACTATGGGGCTGGCCTGTAGCCTAGTGGCTAAGGGAACTGGATCCCACCTGGCCAATCACGGTTCGAATCCTGAGCCCGGGGGCCTGAAAAACACACCATGTGTATGTGCGTGTGCGCGCACGCGTGCCCAGAACCGTGACAGGAGAAATGGCCGAGGCGGGGCTGTGGAGATGCCTTTAGGGTGCCACCTCCCTCACCCCTTTCTGGGCCCACGTGCCTCCTGGCAATAGTAAAATACTGAAACCAGCGGGGGGCCTTGGGTGTCAAGATGCGGTGGCCTGGGCTGCCTGTGGGCGGCCGGGGGCCACTCTGACCCCGGACTCGTCCTCTGCCGGTTCTCGGGTCTGCTCTGATCTGCTCCCGCCCTGCCTCCCACCGGTTCGGTGCCCGGCCCAGGACAAGCACGCGCTGCTGGACGTGACGCCCTCGGCCGTGGAGCGACTCAACTACGTGCAGTACTACCCCATCGTGGTCTTCTGCGCCCCCGAGAGCCGGCCGGCCCTGAAGGCGCTGCGCCAGTGGCTGGCCCCCG